GTGAACAAAATAGATCATAAGCTTAGATTAGTACTCTGAAGTTTAGATATGATAGTTTATTATTTTAGGAAAAATGAGTTTTTATAAGGGTTATCCATCCTTTTTACTAGACTCTATTAAACTCAGTAGAGGAAGTCGGTGTGATGTATGGTTTGTTTAATTTGAGTTCTTTTTATCATTCATTTTTGTTTATGTGCTAAAATTGGTTACATATTAAGATAAAATTCCTAATATGAAAAGATAATATTATATATTTAATTAGTTTATACTTAAAAATCTCATTTGTCAATTTCCCTTAACTTACAGAAATAAATAATCTCTTATTTGTTTTGCTACAACAAAAATTTATAATCCTACATGGCGCACTAAGAAAATAAAATCCTACGTTTAGGGTCGGGCCAGATCAAATTCGGATCATGGTAAATCGATTCCGGGTCAGATATGAGTCTGATCAACTCTAGATCGGTTCACTTTCGGTTCGGATTCAAAAGGGCTTTTACCGGGTTATTTCGTGTCGATTGGATTTGTGTTAGGTTGATTTCGGTTCGGATGATTTCGATTCGGTCAAGTTCGGTTTGATTAAGATAAGGTTGATCTGTACCCTTGATTCATCATTAGTGTTCAATTTCAATTCAATTCCTTTTTGTGCTTGGCTGGATTTTGGTCGAGTTGACCAAATTCATATCCGAATAAGGTTCCTTTTAAACTAGAGTTATTATTGAGTTTTTACCTTATTATTGGGTTTATATGAAGACGTATCATATAAGTGAAACGATTAAAAATATAATGAGCTAGTGATATATTGACAAATGATAGTTACATATAGTGGTATATAGTATACATATAAGAATGTCATCTTTTTAAGGTTATTATAAATCTTGAATTGTACAATCTTCAATCTCATCTTTTAGATTAGACAAATGTAAAGCTTAGAAAGTAATTTTATACAATTGGTATGTACATGAAGTAAACTTGTTACTCTGGAATATTTTTTTTGTAGTAAAATAAGTTAACTTATTAGTAGTAATTAGTTAATATAGTAGTATAAGAACTAAAATAAAAAAGTCGATAATTAATTGTGATCGGGTTTTTCGGATCGGGTAAAAATCAAATTGAGTTAAAATCGGGTCGTGTTTATCAGTTCGGGTCAAAACAAATCGGATTATTTGATCAGTTATTTTTCGGGTCAACTTCGGATCGAGTTGTACTCGGGTCGGGTCAAATCGGATTCGTGTTGTGTTCATTTTCTTATCTGGAAAGATTTTATAATATGTAATTCATTTTTCTCAAATAGTAGGACCCAATTTTATTACTTTTAAATTATCTCTCCTTCAATTTACCTTCCACTAGTCCAACTACCTCAGGATTTTAATACTTTCTCCAAATTCTCCTTCAATTTATTCCCCGATCATATGGTACATTGTCTCATACTTCCCTACCCCTGTTCGAGTAACACCTTCGTCCTTGTACTCATCCATTAGTTTGCTAGTTTCAGTGAAGAACATGAAACCCTTTTTGAAAGCATAGTCGTGGCAAAACTGGGCATACTCTTCTCCTGATACAAAGGTCATTCCAACTTCTGGGGCATTTGCTATTCCCCGATCCTCTTCTTCACAGTCCTCAAACACCTCGTTTAGATCAATGTTTCTTTCTGAATTGCCCTCCAAATTTGCCATTACACTACAACCCAACCCTGCACAGCACAATTAAACTCATAAATAATTCCCCACCACAATTAATTAATATACATGTAATAATACATAATCATACCACTATAATTATATTCATACTAAAAAAAATAATTTCACACAAAGATTGTTTAAAATCAATTTTATAAACTCACGATAAAGGTACATTATACATTATTAACTACAAATCAATAACTTCCTTATTTTTTAAATAATTTAAACCATGGATTGGAATTAAATAGCAAAACTATAATCATATCTATCTTCTTCAACCCAATTATATTTCCTTATAAACAACTTTTTCATCAAATATAACATATTACCTTATTACTCACTATATTGTCGATGCCCTCAATAAAGTTTTGAGCTTCTTACTTCAGCTTCGACTCAACAAATGACTTGAACTTCATTCGCCAATACCGTAGAAATTGTTTCTAAAACTATATTAACATACCTTGGTGGACTAAGATCTCGTACGCTGAGAAAGGAGAACCACTTCTAGTCGAATAATTGAAATTTTTGAGTTATACTTTTTAGCAAAATGGCGCCATCTAAAACGCTGAGAAAGGAGAATATAATCGAAATTTTTGAGTTCTATTTTTTAGCAAAATGGCGCCATAAATTTAATCCTTACCACTGCTCACTTCAACGCTGGAATCTCACTTATTTTTACCGCTCAATTATCCCGCTCAACTCTCTTTCTTTCTTTTTTTACAAAATTGACGTGTCACCATTTCATTGGCCGTCTATGTGGGGCTACACATAGACTTTGTCTATGTGTATCACCTCCCATAAAAAAACAAAGGAAGTAGTATATTGATTTTTAGGTGGGAGTAAATGATTGACAAGTTCAATAAGAACCATTATAATGAAGGTGTGAGATTATAATGATGATCTTGCATATCTATTAATGAAGTGGGAAAATTCAAAGGAACAAAACAAGTGGAAACTTGAGCAAATAATGTTGGTCGATATAATGTTGCGAATTGTATATGCACTTGTACATGTAAAAGATCCGATGGAATTACTCCAAGGATTAGTTACAAGAGAGCAAAGATTTATTACACTAAAAGTAACACAACTTACTATAAACCAACTTTATTTTGTCATAATATTCTTACATTTTCATTGTATGTGTATAACCATATTTTCTCCGGGTTATTAAGCAAAGGGTCGCTGTGAGTAGCAGTCTAAATTGTTTCCATAGCTTACTCCCAAGATATCACAATACCTCTTATAAAACCCAATTCGATCAGCCACCCTAGGATCTTGGCCTTTACCACATTCGATCCCACCATTGATGATATTAGTGATCACGCCGTAACCTGGGACACGGCCTGCAGCCTGATCCGCTGCTGACGGGTTCCATCCTCCAACAATGACATTGTGGCACGAGGGCTTGTTGCCTTGTGCAGTCATCCAAAACCATACTGCTGTCTTGAATGATATGGTCGCGTCAGTGGCTACTAAGTCCGGGTTGTTTATAAGGTCGACTTTTATGGCTTTACCTGCTAGATCATAGTTGTAGTTGCTGCACATACAAGTCATGCAATAATATAAGCAATCATGTATGTAGTCAATTGCATAGAACAAAATAGTTATATTGTCTTAATAATCTATTGTTGTAACATAAACAAAGCTAATACTTACTGGGTTAATTGGATGGGGCCTCGGCCGTAGTACATTTTACCTGCAGGACATGGCGAACCAGGGTCACAATAAGCTGGTGGTGGGTTGCCCTGTTCTCTGACAAAACAGTAACCCCACGAATATGGGCCATCTGGAGCAGCAGGCCATCCTCCTGCACATAAAATACACCCAATAAAATCGCGTCTATTTTATAGAGTTTAACAACACTTTTGGTTTCACTTGATTATAGTTTTTTTTTTGTCTTTAAAGAGCCACAAAGGACGGGGGTGAGAATCGATCTCAGGATCTCTTAGAATCGGGAGAGAAACTCTAACCACTTGAGTTATCCCTCAATCTCTCAATTGATTACAGTTTGATAGAGTGATAAATTTTTTATTTGTTGCTCCTCCAAAAGCTGAAAAAAATTATGAAGTATTCATATCCCTGAACAAGAGACCACATATGATTTTAAAGATCTCGGCATAAGGTTATGAATTTTCTAAAATTATGAGCAATGAACCAAATTAAATGACTAACCAGTAGTTTCATGAGAGGTTTGAGCAAAGAAAGCAGCAAGCTCTCTTTTGCGAGTAGTAGCATCTCCAGTGGTGCCAAACCCATTGAAAGAACGGGCAGCACCAATGAAAGCATTATAGGTGTAAAACCCGCGACCAGGGCAGCTATTTTCATTACGGTGTTTGAGCATTTGATCAAAGAGGGCAGGGGTGATAATGGACCCGACATCCCCAGAGGCTGGGGGTGTTGGTGTGCTGGGACTAGGACCGCCTGGCGTACACTGGCTTTGACAGCCAGTCCCGCAATAATCAGAGGTAGTCCCGCACCACCCGTGTTGGCTACAACAAAGGCCATTGGGGCATAGTGCACCACTGGCTTGTTTACCACATTGCTCAGCTGATATTATTCCTAGTAAGCAAGGCAACAAAATGAGAAAACATTTTACGTAGGATTTCGTGTTCATTGTGTAAAAATGTGCGCGACTTTGGTGAAATTGGAAGGGTGTTATATAGGGCAGGCTATCAAATTTTCTTTGATTAATTATGATATGTTGAAAACTTGAAATAGTCAAGCTTGAGTGGCTGCTAAATACTACGTAATTAATCAAGCTACAAATTATATTATCTTGTTTGTGGAAGTTCGTACAAATTATGTCATACATTATGAGGCCATGATTCAAATATACAAGTAACACCGTTGTACAATTTTAAACAAAAGTCTACGAACATGTAGTCAAGTGTACACTAATATGATAATATATCTCTTATAAACTATGATTAGGCATTACTATGAATAGCAATTGGTGTTTATGCACCTCATCACAGGTCACCACTTCCATGTCGTGCATAAACGGAACACTACAATAGTACAATGTTGGTCATTTAATGACCTATTATGCCATCACAGTCCTTTGACAAATGACCTATTATGCCATCATAGCCGTTTGACACACACACACAAAAAAAAAAAAAAAAAAAAAAAAAAAGGTTGCCAAATGAATTGAATAATACAGCTCAAATGCCTCCATCAGAGCTAACTACATTACTACAATCCTTTGCTCTCTGGTTATTCTCACCAAGCACTGCAAATTTTAGATAGATCGCTAATAACTACTTGAGATTAGAATAACACTACCAAATAAGAAATTCAATTACTATAAGAATGATGAGAAAGAAAGAAAGGATAATGAAGACAGAAACTAACGTCAGAACTGCATGACCAATCAACTCCAAATTCATCAGAAGTTCCCGAGAATTTCTCTACATTTCTTCTACTATTTACTCCTATACTATCATCAATGAGAAGGGCAAGACCAAATAGGCAAAAATTGCTTGCCAGAAGCATGGAAGATGAGAAAAAGGTCCAGGATTTCCAAAAGGTCCACGATTTCCACAATGGTTACAAAATGATACCTGCAATGTCAAGAGGCATCACAGAAAAGAATAAATCATTGTTTATGAATGGTGATACTGCAGATTATATGGTTTTGGGGTAAATGTACCTTGATTGCAATTATTCAGTTCACTTCACAACAGATAAAACATGACCATTTTTTAGAAAAGGTGAACCGGAAGGAGCTGTGAGGCCAAGATCCTGCATTACTTTCAATCTCCGAGCACTACCATCAGGCTTTTTTGGAGTGTAATCCTGAAACATCAACCATAGAGGTAAACAAATGTGACCTTACAGTTAAATTCAAGAAACGCTCAAATCTATTGAATACAGTGCAAGAATTTGTCAAAGAACTTGTCAGGTTAAGTCTCTTATAGTTTCTCCATAACTGTAAATTTGGTTAACAGATCAATCATCATCTATACAAAGTTAACAACTCATGATCAGTTGTCTGAAAGAAAATACAAGTAGATAGAAATGTACTTACATCGTGCTCTTCAAATCCTCTTTTATAAGATACTGGAGTTTCCTTGTGTACACTGTCATTTCCTGCATTTGTTTTCCATGTATTGATATCTATCAATCTCTAACATAGAATATAAAGCTTTTCCAAAACAAATTAACATGCAGTATGTCAAAGTTATTATGGACACAACATGTCACAGTATATCAACTAATAAATGCAATCTCGAGGAATCATGACAGTGCACATTTGTTTCACATAAAAACACGTTTGCAAACAATGAAGCATTCATGATTGTCAATTTGTCAGGAGTATGTGGTTCTCTTTCTAATATGAGACATTATACAAACATTAGATAGATCCCCCTACTCCCCTTCCAGCCAACTACGAATCTTCAGAACTCTAAGCTGCTGAAAAGAAATTTCTAATACATAATGAAAACTTGTGCATGTTATCTCAGCATTTTGTCTTGTCATAAATCACTTATCTCAGTGCTGCTCAATATTTACTCTCAATAATGGCAGACATGCAAATTGCATCCCAACCAAGCAGCAACATAGACGACAAAATCTGAAAAATAGTTCACTCGATTATTTGGAAATTGGAATTATGGGATTAAGGCTTTGACTGAGTGATTGAATTGTCTAGAATTATGGACAACAAACGAAAGACGAACATTAAAAATAAAAATTGATAAATAATTAAACTGTAGTGATTTCACTCTGTTCACGACAATCTAGAGATGCTAATAGAAAATGATTATAAGGAAACGTTTGTATCCTTTTAACTTTTACATATATAGATAGATACCATACTCAGCTAAGACATCTTTAATTGCTCACATTAACTACAAATATAAAATAACATACCCTTGGGAACTTGGATAGCCTCAAGGTGAGCAAACTTTCTAGAAAAGCTCACTTGACTAAAAAAACCATTTTGAGTCTGAACAACCACCACCACTATAACACATCTTGCAGCAGTCTTTCAAGCCAAAACCAATATTTTACAATGTTTGCCCAACTAATACCAAAGTGAATTACCAAATCTAACAGTCATTTCATACAGAATATTACATAACATTGTTTCTGGCAATAATTCGACATTTCTTTTCAGGCAATACTAAAACTACAGCTCAACAAACAAATTGGCCAAATAACACAACCCAAAGCAAACCCTTAACATCTGACGCTACATGACACGTGACATGTAAGCTGACTCCAAACATCAAACCTCCCCTACCCTAAAAAACAAGAAAAGAAAATATGGGGAAAAAATTCAACAAGGAACAGTCAATTACAGATTCAGCTTACCTTTGGCCTTGACCCTCCGTGTGTTGGTTTTCCCAGCTTGTAATTCAGAAAGGTCCTATTATCATATTTAGTTGATGAAATAATTCAATTAAGGCAAAACATGTACTCCTGTCTGATAAATTTTACCTAAACAGGCATTATAAAGAAAAAAAAAAAAAAAAAAACCCAGATAAAATTACCTGATCCAAAGCCTTCCTAAAAATCTCCCTTTGAGTACTGTTATTTCGCTTTAGTAACTGAGCGAAAAACAATCAACACAGAGAAGTGAACAAAATAGTCAATGCCTTAAGTGGCATATGGTGGTTACTATCTAATAGTCAAGATGTAAAACGATAAATTAAGGGGATCAAAAAGCTATTAACTTTAAGCCTTTAACAAAGATTAGGAATTGAAACTCACATTATTAAACTCCAAGAGACTTTTCACAGGGTCCATGTACAGGCTGCAACCAGTCAAATGGGGGTTTAATAATAAAAGTTTCATGAAAAGCTCAACAGAAAACTGAAAGTCAAGAAAAAAAATTACTAACTACTTATATGTTCCATATAGGCGCACAAGAACTTCACCACTTTTGCTCTTGCGAGGTTTAGCATTATCACTTACTGCATTCCCATCCATAATCTATTTCAAAGGCGTGTAGAAGTAGAAATTAGCCTGACAATCATGGAAAATTACAAAAAAGAAATTGAGACAAGCAAATGTACCTGAGCAGGCCACCATGAAGTTCCACGGAGCTTGATCCACGTTACATCTCCTGGTCTGAACTCAGCACAGGACTGTTTATCTAGAACTCCATCCTTTCCCCTTCCATCATGTCCCTTACCTTTTGCAAGACCTCCCTTTCCCATTTTTAAACTTAGTATGCAAAATTACTGAGCTAGACAAACCTACACACAATACACTGAAAGTGCGAGCCCTCAATGACCTTGAATTTATAAGGAATAGCACCCAAGAGAAAAGTATAATTAAGCACGTTACTAAGCTGGTCTTTTAAGAGAGCCCCTACACTCCAGACAAATCATATTAGCATTAACAGATGCTATCCAATAAAATATATAAATGAAACAACAAAACCTCAAAAGGTTAAAGAAAATACTACACTGTAGCATTTATTAAGTGACTATAAAGCTCTCAAGGGACTTCAAACTTATTAAAAAAAATTATCAACGAGCACAGAAAAGAAAAACTATTATAAAAAATGACTGTAAACATAAGCACGGGATTGTAAGATATTTATGTCATACACCAAAATGACACCACTATGAATACACGGTAATCACTCCACTCGTCAACACTATAAAAAAAATATACATATATATATCTAAAACTGGGAAAGAAGTAAGGGACAATTTCAACATTTTAAATGCTCAGTTAGGGGAAGCAAACTTCCCTAAAAAACTTGAACCCCAACCCAAAAGAATCTACTCTTTATCAAACAAAAGTGGTGCAAGGAGCTACCAAATTCCCAAGCATTAAACAATTAAGCCCAAGATTTATTGGTCTCTTTTAAATTTAAACTCCATTATCTATATTGATCCCATCAACTAGGAAAAACGAGAAGCTAGCTAAAATATGGCAAAACCAACAAAACCCCAATTAATTATACTATACGTTGACCATTCATAAGGCCACCTAATAGGCTAATAGTTTGAGTTAGGAATGGTAACACACATTTCCTTGATATGGTATTGGACTACTAATATTCCTGCCTAGCAAATTGCTAGAAGTTTTGGCCTTTGATCAGCACACGAAAAAGGATCGACTCGCCAGGCTCGGACTGGATCCCGGGAAGAGAATGGCTATGATCCCCCTGCCATCCCTCAACCGCCTCCAAATTCAATTTAAAAGACAACCCTTCCCCCTTCTCTCTCCTTTTTAAACAACAGGTACACTAAAATTTACACTCACTCCCAATGAATAGGCCAAGTTTCCAGAAACATCTAATCAAAGCTACAAAATTTTTATGAATTGGCACAATTTGTACAAACTATCAACAAAAATGCTTCAAAATACAGAACACAAATACACACGCGCGAAAAACTTTCCTCGTTCGGACATTTCGTAGCAGACAAAATCAACTCAACCCACAATTATATAATACAGGTCCAGTAAAAAGTACAAAAAAATTGATGAAAACATAAAATAAACCAGCAATTCAGCATAAAACTACAACAATTGGTTTGTAAAATAACCCCATAACAAGCTTTTTCATATCATTCTAGCAGAAACAGTGAATTTGAGTATTAAAATTAAATGCAAACATGAAAATCAGCCAAAAAAACAAAAACCCCAGATACATTTTGCAAGAATTGAAGAAAAGGGTGCTTACCAAAGGAAGAAAAACCAGCAGATGAAAGTGCCCAAATGAAGAGAGAGAAAAAGGGGCTGAATTTAATTTTAATTTTAATTAATTAATTAAGGGGGGAGAAGCATTGAAGAAGGAATCTTGAAGGTAGTGAGAGTGTGAAAAGGCGTGGTGTTTTGTTGTTGAGAAGTGAGAAAATGGAGGGTTTTCAGATTAGTGATTACTAGCAGAGTAAGGAAGCTCTCTGCTGAGTGCTGACATTGACATTCCCAGTGAATTGTCTCATCGCGGCATTATTTCATTCGGACTGGAATCGGAGAAACTAGAGTCACTGTTTATGCTAGTCTTGATAATACTGACTCATATTCGATTAATCAGTGTACTTCTTACCTAATTTATTTAGTGCTATTACGAAGTATACTAGATAAGACTGAACCGTACTTGATTATTCGCTCGTACAACACTAGATAAGAAAGGCTTATAGAATTACTTGGTTATTCAATTTTATTACACCACAAAGGAATGACTCGTACTTAATTACTCAGTCTTATTTAAGTCATATTACACGGGAATATAAAAAAAAAAGCTTTTTTTTAGAAATGTAATTTAGAAATAAAATAAGGTTGTTTAGTCCAAAAAAAAAACTACTCGATATATTAGTATGAATATCGTTGACATGAATAGCTTTTAAAAATTTCCGAAATACAAGAAAAACAAAAGAAAACGGAAAGAAATCAAACATCGATCATAGATATTACTAAAAAAAGAAGCTAAAAATGAAAAGAATTTACAATAAATAAACATTTATTAAAGTGATTTGCTCCTGAATTGTTGATAAATTCTCAAATTATTACTAAAAAAGAAGTATATTAAATGCTAACATTACCCTTAAAAAAAACATTTACACAACCAAATTAGGATCGATTAATAAACAAGTTTAAGCCGAACTGTTATATCTGATTAGGCGAATGAAAATGTATTTTTCCATTTATAAATTGTTATTTTTTTTTTAATCTTGCTCTAGTTATACATAAAAGGAAATTTTGGATTTTAACACCACAAAAAAAAAACGAAAAAAATGAATTTTAACACTACCAAAAAAAAAAAAAAAAAAAAAAAAAAAAAAAAAAAAAAACTCTTTTATTTTAACACCATAAATTTTTTTTTTAAAAATGTGATTACCACCATTTAACGGTTGTTGTCCAAAAATCTGTATAGTGGGGTCCATTGTGCCACGTGTCATCATATTGTTGGTTTAGGAAAAAAAAAACCCTAAACTAACCCAGCCAACCCCATCCTCATCGCCGACACAGCGGCATCGGCCGCTACCCCTCCCAAACACTCCAGTTCCCCGCCCAGCCGCCGCAAACTCCATCCCCTCCCTTTCTCCCTCCCAAAATAGACAAAACCTCCCAAGGCCCGCTTAAAATGGGCAGCCGTTTTTCAAACAACCCAAATTTGATCACCATTAATGACCATTAAAGGTCGAAAATGACCGGTTTAGGGCCTAAGTGGTCGATCTAGACCATTAACCGGTCGTTTTCGACCCTTAGAACCCGTTTTGGTTGGCGGTTTTAGGTAGTTCGAAAAATGGCCTCCCATTTTTTGTGATCATTAGGATTAGGTTGCCGGTTTTAGTGAGAGGGAAGGGAAAGGCGGAGATTCCGGTGGTTGTGGCTGGGAACAGGGGTGTTTGGGTGGGGCCATGGCCGGAGCCACCTAGCCGGCGGTGGCAATGGGGTGTGGTTGGGTTAGTTTAGGGGTTTTTTTTTCCAATTATATGCTGACACTGCACGTAAGCATCGTAGACCCTAGTAACGGATTTCATCCATGAACAAGTTAAGTGGTGGTAAAAACCATTTTTTTTTATTGTGGTGTTAAAATAAAAGTATTTTTTTTTTTTTTTTTTGTAGTATTGAATCTATTTTTCGACTTTTTGTGGTGTTAAAAATCAAAATATCCTATATAAAATTAAAATGTTATGTAATAATTCTTTTAAGGTTAGAATAGTTAGACCACATAGTTTTATATCTATCACTATAATTTATGTATAGCGAATCATGTAATTAAGCAAGGCTAAACATTACAAGAAAATAACCTTTTCGTATCAATTATTTTATGCTTTAGTATCGATTGTAATTGCAACAAAATGCTTTTCCAACAAATAGTCATTCGATACAATATCCCCCGTTGCCTTAGCCTATAGTAGTGGTTTTCAATATCGTTGGGGTTGGCCTCAACAATCGATACAAAAAACTACATCCAATCATGGTGATTATTGTAGCGATTATAATCGCTACAAATGTTGAACTATTTTATTCAAAAAAAAAAAAATCATACATATGATGTTTACAAGATTCAAACATACAACCTTTAACTCTTATATTAAATGTTTCACCAATAAACTATGACATATTTTATGTATTCTTTGTTAAAAAATATTTATATATCTAGTGTAGAAAAGGCTTTTCGTATCGATTTTTGGGATTTAGTGGCGATTGTAAATGATACGATTTCTCATAATTTTATAAATGTGCAAAAATAGTGTGGATATGTATTATTATGTTTTCCGTATCGGTTTTATATGGGAAAACCATGACGATTGTAAAATGATACAATTTCCTTAATTATTTCACAAACATGCTTGCATATTGTAGCGAATGTACAATCACTACAAAATAATCGCTACGAAAAGACAATTTTCTTGTAATGAAAAAAATGAGAATCAATTAATGTAATTTATTACATTCTGGAAAGTTCGACTCACATAACATTTAGGTTCTCCAATGCACGTATTATTTTTTTTAATAGTCCAATCCACGTATTTGACTTAATTTTTAATTGGGAAAAGCTAACGAACGCCCCGAAGGCGTTGGATAAGGAAACTAAAAGTAGAAATAATATTAATTACACTGATCGGCGCGTGATTTTGGCATGTATTCCAAAATTAATAATATATTAGAAAATATTTTTAAAGGTTATCCAACGCCCCCCGGGACGTTCATTAGAAATATCCTTTTTAATTTGGTATGGATGAAAATTGGGCAAAAAAAAAATTTACAATTCACTATCTACTTTGGTAACAAAAATCATTCTCTCAATCTATTATATCTAAAAATGTTTTATTTACATTTTATTTTTCTTAACAAATTCTCTACTTTTGTACTCCAAAACAAAAATTACTCCATTGTATCCATAATTTTTTAAAATTTTAATTTAATTATTTTCTATAGATAAGGGTGAAGTTAAGAAATTTTTATTTTTTTACAAAAAATAAAGCCAAGATTAAATTTTTTTATAGTAACATTAACTATTTAATTGTAAATTTAATTTGATAATGATTAAATATGAACAAGGGAAAAAAAAAGCAAATAATATTAGAATGTAGGTTGCATTACTATTGTTTAGAAACTTAAAAAAAAAACCTAGCCTCTCTTTCCTCAGTTCTCTCTCTAAAACCCTAGTCTCCATTGTTGAATTTTGAAGGGGCTTCCATCGGATTTACCGGTGGAAAGCCCCAATCGTTGTTTCTTTTGTGCCTTTTCTCTTGCTTTAGGTTTATAATAATTCTTCCTCTTCTAGGAGGAATATTTCTCCCTCGAAAGACATGGTTTTTCTTCCTCTTTAGGAGGATTTGGCTCCTTCGAAAGACCGAGTTTTTCTTCTCTCTTTTGAGGGAGGATTTGCCTTTTTATTTCATGGATTTCTATAGAGTTGTTTCATGGGTAAAATTTTATGCGGGATTGAAAAGGAGATTAATATTTCGACAACAATCGAATGAATCAGACGGAATTTTTTTGCACGGCTACAACAGATCGATAGACCCCCTCGCCGAAGAAGGCTGTGAATCACAGCGATATGAAAGAGGGTATGAAGAATGTACGATTTGCAACAACGATCGTAGCTATGCTTACAGAATGTTTTTATTTGATTCAATTATTATGTATTTGTTAGATCTAAATCTATTTGTAAATGTCGTATGACTTATTTATGAATCAATTTTATTTCAAAAAAAAAGGTTGTATTACTGCTCTTGTGAAATTAAAGAAATAGAAAAAAAATTGTTAATCAAAAATAAAGAAATGGTAAATAAAAAAAATGATTTTATTTTTAATATATATTAATCAATTAATGGACAATGAAAAGTGAAAAAAAAAATAATAAATTTTTGATTGAAACTTCCTTTGTGTTTCTTTTATTCATCCATTAGTTTATCACACATTTCAATATGTTCTTTGATCGGCAAATCTTTAGTCTTAGCACTATCAAAAATTATAAAAATTTAAGGCCAGGTGTTAACATGCTAAATCTTAATTATTGTTTTTCTTGCATATTAATATTAACTAGTCTTCTGGCCCGTGCAATGGGTTATTCATATAAACTTTTGGAACTTTAATCGAAAAAGGGGCTTAAATAGAAGGTGGAAGGGTTAAAATTAAAGAGAGAATAAGAAAAGGTTTAATTAAAGGGGAGAGATGAAGATGAAGAGATGAAGTGTGTATGAAATATGAAGTATAAGTTTAATGAAAGAATTGGAAAAATGATGTAATAAAAAATTAATAGTGTAAGATGACATGTGGCACTATGGTTAGAGAAGTGTAATAGAATGGATAAGGACATGTGTCTTTCATAATTTTTTGGTTATAGTTTTTAAGTATAGAAGTATAGATTCATGATCATATTTCAAACACTATAATCAATATTGGTTGGAACTGAATTTGATTTCAGTTATTGCCACTTGTTAATAAAGGGTTTGGGCTGCACCCGCAATAAAGAGACAAATATGTTCAAAGAGGTCATCCCAAAACCATATGACAATAGGATAAATAACGCTTTAGCCTTTCAAATCTTTTTTCAAACTTACATGTTTTTTTTATTAAGTTTACACTTCAAGAGCCTACAACGTGACACAAATTTATCAAGTTAAAATCTCACCTACTCCTTGTTTTCAAGTGGAATAGTAAACATCGGGTGTGGAGCAGTTTATACTTCATTCAGCTTAATGACCTCATATATGTGTGTGTGGGGGGGGGGATGATAGAGAATATAAACTAATCTCTAAATTCAACCATTAGTTAAATCTTCTGGTTGATAGGCTTCTTTAACCTGGCATAAGAGACAAATTCATAGTTTGGTACCTTTAATAGTTTGAATATATTGAGTGAGTACATCAGGCTAACTTAATTAGATTTCCAAGTGAGGGGGTGAAAAAATGTGCTCTGGTCCATAAAATATCAAATGTGACAAAATTATAATGACCTTACATTGGTGGGATTATAAATTTAATTATTTATATATGAGCATAATAGATTTCAGCAGAAAGTATAACTAAAAAGAACATGACCTTAAAGATCAATAATATTAAATCATAAATAACACAGTAATACACGACAATAAACAATCCATATAAAAATGAAGAGTGCAAAACTAACTTCATTTTTATTTATGTACCCTAATTTGACATTGGCATTATTTACACACACCGCTCTAACTAATGTTTTTACTTTATAAATAAAATAACTAGTACCTTTGGTTTTTTTTGTTGTGTTTTTTTATTTTATTTTATTTTTATTTTTATTGTATCATGGGAAATTTCACGCTTGTCAATGCATTACTTTAGTTATTAATATTTACAATTATACTTTTGTAAAAACTAAAAAAAAAATGATATTTGAAAAGTAGATTTCAAGATGAATCTAAATGGTGGTCATCAATGAAGATTAAGTGAATAGTATAAAATTCCTTATGGTGCAAAATAATCATATGGGTACTTGTTATATTCATTTCAATGTATAGTTTTCAAATCTTAAATTTTCGAAACTTGTCTTTGTTGATAATTAAAGATATTAGGAGTCAAATGGTATGCATTAATAAACATATGGATCAAACTAGAACGGTAGGAGTGCACATAGTTTAAGAAAAATATAGGTTAGGGTTGTAAGCTCTAATAAAACAATGCAAGTGGACAATTTTTTTACAATACTACTCCCTCCGTTTTTAATACTTGCTCCACTTTTTTTTTTTTTTTTTTTTTCTTCTTACCTAGGGTTTGTTCACATGAACTGAACTGAGCTGAGCTGAACTGAACTGAGGAGCTGAACTGATCTGAGCTGAAATGAATATTTTATGAGAGAGGGAAATTAAGAGCTGAACTGAACTGAACTGATTGGAGCTGAACTGAAATGAAATTAAGTAAATGTGAACAGACCCTTAGTAAACCCACCATTAATCATATTTTATTAACTCCATGTTCCTCCTTCTCCAATTCTCTCCACTACTTTTGTTTTTTTACAATTTTTTATTTTTCCACTTACCCCACTACCTCCCTATTTTATAACTTACTCCAATTTCTCATAAAACTCCACACATAAAGAAATGGAGTAAGTATTTATACACGGAGAGGGTAGAATAAAATACAGTATAATTAGTATGATAGAGAAATACTCTCTCCGTTTTTAAATACTTGCTCCACTTTCCTTTTCCGGTCGTTTTTAAATACTTGCCCCATTTCCTTTTATGGAAAGCTTTTATAATATTTAATTCATTTCTAACACTTAGTGGACCCAACATAATACTCTCTCTCCTCTTATTCTTCCACTACTTTTGCTTTTTACAATTTTTTATTTTCTCAACTACCCCACTACTTCCATATTTTATTACTTTATCTAATTTCTCCTAAAAACTCCGCGCATGGAGAAATGAAGTAAGTAATTAAAAACGAAGGGAGTAATAATAATAATAAAAAAAAAAGTAGCATAAGTGGGGTTGGTAGGAAAAATAAAAATAAAATACTACATCTATTTCATATTATTTAGAACGATTAGACATTTTATATCCAAACTTGATGTTAAATCAATAATTCATTGCATATAATATGAAATGGGTACTATTTGTAAAAGTTGAGTTACTAGGAAAGATAATTAATACAATAAAATAATAGTGTAATCATATCAGATAAAGAAGAATTGCAATTATTATAATGATCTTACTAACAAATGCCCCCGGGGCGTTGGATAAGCATTTAAAATATTACTTTAAATGATACTTGTACTAATTTAGAAAGCAGGACAAAATCACGGGTCGAATGGTGTAAGTAATGCTAAGCGAGCTTTTGCCTTATTATAAAATGACCATAAAAGAAAAGGTATTGCAATTATTACAAAGAGTAGAGAATTCCATTTTTAATTTTTTTTCATCTTTTACACTCCCAATTCACTTAATAAAAACAGCATCAGTACTACTGTTTGTAATAAAAATTACTCTGAAATTATATCCTAAATTATTTTTGATTTTCCCATTTTCATTTCATTCATTTTCTCTCTCCTCTTCAAAAAGATGGACCTCCATCAACACAACCACCACCATAGCGACCCCACCACCGTACCAACCACCACAACCACCATTCCAAATCCAAATCTGAACCCGAATAGGGCAGAAGCAGAGCGTCTCCTTGGTATAGCTGAGAAGCTCCTTCAGACCCGAGATCTAACCGGGTCACGAGAATTCGCCCTTCTTGCCCAGGAAACCGAACCCCTTCTCGAAGGATCCGACCAGATCTTGGCTATTACCGACGTATTACTTGCGTCGGAACATCGAGTAGTTAACAACCGTCACTACGATTGGTATGGCATCCTTCAAATCAATCGTCAATCTCTTTCATCCGACCCTGATCTTCTCAAGAAGAATTATCGCCGTCTCGCTCTCCTCCTCCACCCCGACAAAAACCGTTACCCTCTTGCGGACTCTGCATTTAAGCTAGTCGCGGATGCGTGGGCTCTTCTTTCGGATCATTCCAGGCGGGGGCTTTACGACCACGAGCTCAACGTTTACGAGAAGGTTGAGCTCCCCCGTGGTGGGGTTGGGGCCGAGAAAGATAAATTGCCCGTCAGAAGGAGCCCACGTGGAGGGGTCGCAGGGGGCGGCGATGAATCAGGATTTAACTCATCCGATCCATCGCCGCCACCTGCCGCCCCGAATACTGCCTCGGGTAAGAAACAAAATCCCCGAGGCAGTACCGTGGGCGCGGGACGGGGTGGGGGAGCAACGGGCAGGATGACCAATTTTTGGACAGCCTGCCCGTATTGTTATGTTCTGTATGAATTTCCGAGGGCTTACGAAGACTGCTGTCTTCGATGCCAGAATTGCGAGCGAGCTTATCATGCCACGGTAATAAATTCACTCCCACCAATGGTGCCTGGAAAAGAGGCGTATTATTGTTGTTGGGGGTTCTTCCCCTTAGGGTTCTCGCTCGAGACTACTACTAAGGGGAAGAAGAAGGTTGGGTCTAATCAAGATGGTTTGAACAATGTGAATGTGAACAATAATGGCAGTAATAATGGTAATAATAACAGCAATAATCCGAATTCGGGTTTTCCGAATTGGATGCCTGCAGGCATGTTTACAACGCCTGCCCCGCCTCAAGGAGGCGGGGCAGCTATGAATATGAATGTGCCTGTTGGTGGTATTGATATATCAGATGGCAGTGCATCTGCTGGTTTGGGTAATAACAATAATGTATCAGCAGGGTTTCCGACTGTGCCACCAGGGATGGGCACTCAGTCAGCCAAGAAGCGCGGCCGCCCCCGGAAGAATCCATTGCCTGTGTAGGATTGTGGTGGATGGGGTTGTGGAATTTGGTTGGTCAGACAATGTAGGATGATGGCTAATGATTCTATGGAAATTATTTATATGATTGCGAAAATGCGAAAATTAGCACTTCTAAAGGTGGGATGGAATGATGAGGGAGAAGTGAAGAATTTTGAAGTTTAAGCAGGTGTTATTGTTGGTGTTTTTTTTTTTATCTGGTAGTGTAGATTAAAATTTAGATGTATCAGTAGTTTGTACTTTGTAGAACTAACTCACATAATCACAGTTATTTATGCTGTACCTTTGTAGTGAATATGTAATCTAGGGCTTTCCCCTAGTTTGGGGGGTTGATGCATTTATGTTTATTTACAGCATTTTGTTCATCCTCAGAAAAAATTGAAAGCTGAAAATAGACATGTTCTTTCTAGTTTTATCCGTTTACATCTTCTGTTATACTCCTGCTCTGTAGTGTACTACTCGTATGTAGTACAGTGCATCATTAGTTCATTACTGGTATTTATTTAGGTTGTGCTTTTTCCAAAGGAAAGCATTTTGAACTGAATTTTGTTTTCGACGGAAATTATGTGTTAATCAGACTCCATAATTCTTTGTGATCTTTATTGAGAGGTAATGTCTTAATAAGTTGAGGAAAAGGAGGTGAAGGGACGGAAGATTGGAAGGGAGGAGAGGAAGCAGATTCGGGATAGAGAGGAAATTGTGGCATTTTTATCATACACAAGACTATATTTTCCAGGTTTAACCTACAGAAATCAACTATATCCTTCAACAAACCAGAAAAAGGAAAATGAGAAAATCAACTTTCTTGCAACTTTGTACTATTCATTTCAATCTCTTTCTCTATTTTTTTTAAAAAAATAAAAATTCAAATCAGTTACAAATCTCACAGGAGCACCAGGTATATCCAAGCAGCATCAACTAATCAATTAGTGTTTGTTATATCAATCAAGCTAGCATCCTCACAGTAGCTTCATCCATCTGCAACCACGGCATCCTCAAAACGTTGCAATGTTAATCATCATACGTAGTAGACTTCAACACACAAATATTCATCAGAGAGGAGGTCATGCATAGAGGGTTTCTCTGGTCTCTATTCTCCAGAAATGCAGACCCATCTTTTATTATTGAGGTAGATTATCCGATCTTGGTTTTGTGTATCCGAGACTCGTTAACTTCTCTAGCAGCTTCTTCTCAGCACCAATCTACAAGTTAAAATTTTCTTTTTAGATCAAACCGTTAAAATTTAGTATTACATCATACGATATAACTTCGTCAACAAAAATGAGGCAGTTAAAAATTGAAATTTAAATGAAGCGCAGGAAACCTCTAGCAATGGGTTACCCTTCGGGAGATTGCAAGCCAATATAATATTCAACCCAGTCCGAAGCACTACAATCCATCATATTAAAAAGGTCAGAGAGGCTCATTTATTTAGGGATTAACAAAAGTTTTAGACATAAAAATACAAAATCAGAGCAAAAAGAGCATAATACCTAACCGACGAGCAATGCCAACACCAGTATTATCAGAAGTGCCCCCAAGTATTGAAGTCACGCTCACGGTATTGTTCTGCATGCCATATTGAAATTCAGATGGCAGCAAAGTCAACAAGGTTATGATGAAAAAAAAAAAGTGATAAACATGAACAGGAAGGATCCTTATACAAAGACTACCATTTAAGCAAGCTTGCAATATCAAAATTTGTAACAAGAGTTCTTGCTGATGTTTATACATACATACACTCTACGGCGAAACAGAAAAAAACAAATAGAAAATCATAGATTTAACTCAATGTTTGTTGCTTACAGGTCTTGTCGGGCCAGCAGCATGAAGATGCCCGAGTTTAGCAGAGATGCAGCCAATCCATGCATAAATCTAAATAAAACCGTAATGTATTTAGTAAGGCAAACAGTATTTCAAGAGACAATTTAACAATCTGGAGTAGAAGCGTAAGGGGCTTAACAGGGTTTGCAGATATTTATATCAGCAATGGTTAATCAAACTCATGGAAGTAAGTATACCAAACAGCCATGTCAAATCCCAAATATAGTTTTTATTGGCGAACAGTGTCAAAAATGCATATTGTTTGAATTTACATAGAAAAGAAGATTGAATGTAGATGTCAACACTCAACACAAATCTTAAAAGGCGAAGATGAAAGCCACAACAGAATTTAAAGCAGTTTGGCAACAAAAAGCCTTTTAGTCACGAAGAAAGGATGTACTAAGATCAACTGGCTATAAAAAGTTGTATTTTTGGATGCCTCAGGAGTCAGGAAGATTGGCTAGGTTAATACAGCCATATCTCTACAACTGTGATCACAGCACAGAGCCCTGAGTCAGTGACAAACATAGGAATATCCTATACCCAAGCTTCATATGACTGATAAGAGGCACTTGCCAAAGTTGCCACTTCAATGAAGACCCTGCCTCTTATGGCTTGGAACTCAAGAACACTAAGCAAGACCAAGCCAAACTTACTGTTAAGGCCTCAAAGTCAATGTATTGTAAGTGATTTGTAGTATTAGGAAAGAGACAGTAAAACCTAATACGTAGTAAATATAAACCAATAAAGCACAGCATTACAACTAAACAAATCAAACTACCTGTTTGTTAAAGCGCATTATCTGAAAATGAACAGGTGTCTCATCTACTGCATCTGAAAAGCACGTGATTTCCACACCGCTATCTTTGTTAATAGGATCCTGACAAGATGTCTCTACCATTTCTGACCGATCCATCACCACAATTGACAAGTATCTGTAGATGTCATGATACTTAAACTAAACGTTATAATGAATAAGACATCCCAGTATCCCACATCATGTTCTTTTTATTCCTTGAAACCAGACAAATGCAAGAGCACATGAATTGGACAAAAAATACTTTTAACACCAACCAACAAAAGTCAATAAACAAAAAAAAGCATACAAGGCATATAGCAGATTAAGAGATATGTTCTGTGTTCTAACTAATGGTCTAATCACTAAGTTTCAGCTCTCAAAGACTTCATTCTAAAAGTAAATGTAAGGAATTGGGGCTCCTAAATTGTGCAATCAACAAGTACAAGAATGCAGAAATAACAGACAGGACATAACAAGTATAATAAGGGACACAAGTAGATTTTACATGGAAACACAATAACCAGTGAGAAAATCCACCAAGCTACAACACGACTTCAAATAATGTGCAAGACATGATTAACAAGGATTGGAGATCTCTCAATCTAAGCTAATCACTCAAGCCGATATGATGATGACTTGCAAGTTACAACGCTCTCAAGATCACCTTTGATCCCACTAACAGACCAAAGTCAACTGTTCCCCACACTCACATGTTGTCTATTTTTGGGTTTTCTCCATCATTTAGAATGAGTCAATGCCATACAACATCTATAAGACTAAAACCTAGTAATATTAGTAAACAAACTCCGATAAAAGGAAACAACCTGTATATTTTCTAAGTTATGTCTTATTAATTTAAAATTTATAAGATAACTTCCTAAGCCATGATGTTGCCCAAATTGTAGAGATCCTAACAAAATTCCCTTTTTGCCCATGTATCACAGCAAATTTGCTCACTTGCTACTTCTTGTCTCATGGGCTCAATGCATTGCCACTTGTCATCATTCATCACATGGGCCCAATAAAAGCAAATGATAGCACGAGAACCTTAACAACTATCATACAATCACGCCACACAAACCTAAAATTATCACCAATCTAACATGAAATTGGTCACGAAAACAACTGCAGTTCATCACCATGTTAGTTTAACAGCGAAACCACCATAGTTGCTAACATCAGCATGAGACTCATTCTTGAAGCAGACAATTGGTTCAGCAACAGAAAATGCCAATAAGGAAAAATGAGAAAACCTTAGGTAAAATTAGACGTACTAGGATAATTGGAGAATAGAGAGAAAGTTTAAAGGCAGAGGATAGTATGAGGAAGACGAGGAGCAGCTATCATTTGTAATGCTGCAGTGTCCTCTGTCTCCTCACTCTTCAGGATGGTGGAAGGCCAGAGACAGGGAGAAGAGAGGGGCAGAGGGAGGTTGTTGCAAGGATTATTTTCTTCTTTTGGTCACATTGGGGCATATTAGCATGTACCTTGCACCTTACTTCTCCAAATTAACATATGTAGCAATTAACCTGGTTCACAAACAATTGAATTCACTCAAATCTTTGTTTCTTATCCAATTCTTGTTATACAACACCGATTTCTTGAAGGTTGCTTTTTTTAATGGGTGGGAATTTGGGAATGGAACATAAGGGAAGAATGTTTTCCAATCAAAGCAGAACATTTCTCCTTCCTGCACTCCCAACCCCCACCACCACCCCAAACTTCCACACTGGTTGTACCGTGTAAGACTTGTTAACTTCTAGCTACACAACTCTATAATATCATTACATGCTAATTGCCATACATGAACATGGCCAACCAATAAAGCCAACTATTCTACCCACAGCTTCAATCTCAACGAATTAAATTCTCATTCTCAACGAGCTATGACCTCGAAAACTTCCCATGTCCAACCCAAATTTAAGTAAGTTCCACAACGGAAATCGTCGAGCTTCAAAGGGAGATCATCAAGCTTTTAACTTTTTTGGTGGACACAAGGAATTACAACTCGCCCACATCCCTTATCCCTATATGATGAATATCAAACTTTGCATTTTCTTACTTTCACTCAATCGACAGCAAATTCTTCATAAATCACAGATTCAATACAACCACCACGATAAACAACACAGTATCAATTATAAACTTCCAATCAATAAGCCCTTGCTTTGAAAAACCAATTGAATAACTTGAAACTAAATAACTAATTCCATAAGAAATCCTACATAATTTCATTATCATAAAGCAAATAATTAATACTAATTACCCTTATCCTAATCTTGCATAATAGTACTAAACCCATCAATAATTACCTAACAAAAAGAAAAATTAGCAATCAATCAATCAAACCTTACAACATAATGACGCTGATGCTTAATCATGCCAAATGTAATGAAATTTGGTCCAAATTGTACAGTCAATTTACTGAGTCTACATTTGAAATTTGAGAAAACTTACAAGCACATAATTGTATGAATTAAAGAGCTAAAAATAGTGGCATATCAATAAAATAAAATAAACAAAAAAAACGGCGATTATTTACCTGGTGAGTGAATGAGTTGAATTTCTGGAAAAGTTGGAATGTGATACAAATCAATTTGGGGGAATGAGGAAAAAGGAAGGAGGAAGCGTTAGGAGAAGCACGATTTGGCTGTTTGGTTTGGCACTTGTGTTATGATATGACGCCGTCGATCCTCGATCAAGGTAATTAAACGGGTATACCAACTCGGAACCTTAAGCCATCAAGCGAACCTTTTAAGGCGGGCCTACTTAGCTGAGTTGAAGTGAATAGAGCTAAAATGAATTGTTTACGATGGAGCTGAATTGAATTTTTTTTTTTTTTTTTTTGGTGGAGAAGAGGGGCAAGCCCCAAAAGGAATTACAAAAAGCAACTAAAGAAACAAAAACAAACAAAGAAAACAGAAATAAAAACTACACCTAAATAGTAGCTAAGCTACATTATTCCCCTTCGAACCTCCTTTACCACCCTTGGCCACACCACTCCACTCAAGTCCTCCAATAAAACGGCCCAAAGATCCCTTAGGACCGCTTCAAAGAGATGAAGTTTTGCTCCGCCTTCACCGCAAAATTAGCTAACCAGTCGGCTGCTTTGTTAGCTTCTCTATAGCAATGAGAAATCTCGATTTCCCACTCTCTATGGAGAATCAATGCTCTGCATTTGCGGATGATATGAAATAAAGTGAGAGTTAATTGGAGGGTCTCCAACTAACATACGGACAACGACTTCCGAATCTACCATAAGCTGGATCTTTCGATGACCCCCATCCCATGCTATCATCAAACCTTTCATCACAGCAACGAGTTTAGCTCTCGTGCAGGTACACACTCCACACTTCAACGCAAATACTTCAAATAATTCGCCAATGCATCCCCTGATTATTCCCCCTGCTCCAGCCAAGCCGGGATTACCTTTCGCTTCACCGTCAGTATTCAATTTCACCCACCCCACATCAGGTTTTTTCCATCCTACTAACACTTCTTCCCTCCTCTTTCTACTCTTGTTAAGGCCCATAATATCTTTTTCCATAGCCTGTTTAATTAGGCCTACACGAGCAAAAATAAAACTCACCTGGTCAATTGGGATTTGCGGAGAACGATTAAAGTTTCTCTCGTTCCTCCACTTCCACAGCCACCAACAAGTTACTGCGAATACCCTCGGCCATTCATCACCCCACTCCAGATTTTCCTTATCACCATTATTCAACATCCAATCAAAGAAACTACTCGGATCAGCAAGTCTGCTCTAAGATACACCGAGCTTTCTCCATACCAATCTAGCCGCTGGACAATTGCGAATGATATGTTCCGTCGATTCCTCTTCTTCACCACAAACTAAACACCTATATTACTCGGATATTTTAACTTAAAAATCTTCTATTTTTTTTAATTTTTTTTTTAAAAAAAAATCTTCTGAATTAGTCGGTACTTTAATATATTCCGTAGGATTAAGGCCCTATTCACTCTTCATTACAATAATTTTTTTTTTTAAAAGAAGCCCTAAAGGACATTAAATTTCATTAAATAAAGCCATAGGACATAACAATTAACAATAATGAAAACGAATTTAACAAAATCAAACAAGTTAAGAATTAATCGGGGAAGGGCTGAGAATCCAATCAATATATAAATATAACAATTCGGCATATTCTCGATTCGTTGTCTCATACAACTTTTTGAGTGTACCCGTCGTCGCTTCGCAATTTTGTGAGAAAGTTAATTCTTATGCTGATTCCGTAACCCGAATTCGAGCCATAATCAATCGTACCCTCGCACAACCGGAGACCAAATTAAACACAAATAAAACATTGTCTTTCGAAGGAGTCCGAAAAACCTTTTCTTTCGAAAGAGATAGACCTTTTCTTTCGAGGGAGGCATTATTATTGTAACCTAAGAAACAAAAAGCTTAAAAGAAAATAAAGATTGGGGCTTTCCACCGGTGAATTCCGATGGAAGCCCCTTCAAAATTGACAATGGAGGCTAGAGTTTAGAAGAGACAAGAGCGTTTGATAAACCTATTATAATTTCTTGTTTTGATTTTTATTAAAAAAACTACTAAACAAGTATTATGTGTAGCCTTTCATTACAATAATTTTCAGTAAAAATAATTTCAGTTAAGTAAAAATCTATAACTTATAAAAAAGAATCAGTAAAAATAATTTTAATACAATTAGGTAAAGTGAACGGGGCCTAAGTAGGGTATACTCCCTCCTTTTTTAAAATACTTAATCCACTTTCCTTTTTCGGCCGTTTTTGAATACTTGTTTCATTTCATTATTTAGAAAACTTTTACATTATTTAATTCATTACTCTCATCTATTGGACCCAACATAAATCATACTCGCTATTTTATTAATTTCATATTTTCTCTTCTCCAATTCCCTCCACTACTTATGCTTTTTACAATTTTTTATTCTTCCACCCAACCCACTACCTCCATATTTTTTACTTTTTCCAAGTTCTCCTAAAACTCCGCACATAGAGAAATAGAGCAAATATTTAAAAATGGAGGGATTAATACTATAATCTGTTAATATTTTTTATTTTAAAAAAAAAAGTATATGGAGATAAACTAGCTCACAAAATTACCAAAAGACATAGGTAGTCATTACACGTTGACCGTAGATAACAGTATATTGTACAGAGTAATAAAATGTGAACCAGGAGCAACTGAGCAAGATTAGATAGGTGATGAAGAATATTCAAACACAATTGACGAGTGATGCTTGAACAAGATCGATGGTAATGGTAATAACCCTAAACATTCATTCAAATTTCTAACATTTTAAATCAATGTAGATGATCATCAACTACATTAGTTAATTAAAATATATATATACTCTATATGTTCTTATAAATAATCGACACAGCCAATTGGTTGTTGGTGTAGTGGTGATTGGGATTACACTTGTTAGGGGGGATCGTGTTCGATCCCCCGCAACAACAATCGGGAGGGGACTGAAACCTAACCACCCAGAACTGATTCTCGAATCCGGATTAGCCCAAAGGGTAAACCGGGTAGAACACCAAAAAAATAAATAATCGACACAGATAAATTATAGTCAAAGTTAGAATATATGAATAGTAAAAAAAAAATTAAAGAAAAAAAAGCCAACGTCTTAACTATTCTAGGACGATAGGGGTTGGAGGCAATAGACTAATATTCATTATTCAATGCATGAGATGATTAAGATCAGATCAAATCTCATCATGGACATCACTTGCAGTTGAACTGTGGTTCTCTTTATACTGAAGGGATGCCTAAAGGCTACAGCAATCCACTAATTATTGCTATTGAGAAAGTGAAATAAACATATCATGTCGATTATACATTTATACTATACCCTTCAATATCAATGTTATGATAGAGTTGCGTAATAGTGTTTTATGACTACCAATTAATATTTTATGCACGGTAACTTGATTACATTTCTCTTTAATTTCCATTACAAATAAAAGGGGCTCACAATTTCTTACATTTCATTTAAAATTTTGGAAACTCGAAATTACAGAGTATCAAATACTATTTCCTTTCAATTTTTCAATCAACTAACAAACAATAACCAAACTTTAAGAGCTTGTTTGCCATTGTTTTTTTTTTAAAAAAAAACTAAAAACCAAAAACAGGAATCAAGAAAAAGATGTTTTCACTTTTTAATTTGTTGTTAGTTTTTAAAATTATCATGATTTAAATATGTTTAAATAGTTTTTGATTCATTATGTGACATATATCATATGATTATAAAAAACAAAAAAAAAACCCAAAAAACAGAAAACTACAACGATGCCAAACGAACCCTAAATTATCACTTAATTAATATGGGACTAAGAGCCTGTTTTGATCAAATTAATTTCAGTTCATTTCAGTTAAGCTCTAATAAGTTCAGTTAAGTTCAACTCTAATAAGCTCTAATCTTTAGGGCCTGTTCTCATTGACTGAACTGAACTGATAGGAGTTAAATTGAACTTGATTAGGGGATTTTGCTCCCACCAATCGGAATGCGCCACGTGGACCAATCAGGTCCTGCCAAGTGTCTCCTGTTTGGAACTGTCAGGGCTTGCCACGTGGCACGCGCTTATTCGTCCACCTTGGACCTGTTATGTCACGACATGTGGCATACTCCATGCCCGATGGAGAAACCGGCCACCCAGGCCCAATTTCCGAGGGAAGCCCAATCGGCCCTAGGTTTACCTAAACCTAGGATGGGCGCGTTTCCCAAGGTTATAAATACCTTCCTTAATCCTCATTAAGGGGGAGGAGAAGGTTTTTACGAAAAACATTACGGAACAAACACATTAATTACACACAGTAATAACCGGTTGATCTCGCTAACAAAGCAGATTACCTACATTAAACACTCTCACCTAGAGAGACCCTAATCACTTTAATTTCCGTATTAATTTCTCCTTAATCAGTTACTAACTTGACCGTTGGAGGCGGAGCTCACAGGAGTCTCCGTTATTTTGCAGGTACAGGCGTCTGGTTCCAGTCTCGAAATTGTAACTCTCCCGCAGGACATCAGAAAACCCCGAAACATTTGGCGCCATCTGTGGGGAGAGTACTTCAGAGATGGCATCCAAGTCTGTACCGACTCCTGAAGAGAGGCGTCCCCTAGACGACCCTCAAGTTCAGTCAGACCATGACACCGAAAGTGAATTTGAAGTTGAAACTCATACAGCTTCAGACGGGACCCTAAGGGACCGACGTACCCGTCATACCGAAAGGAGCGAGCCAGCAGGCGCACCGCCCGTTCGGCAACAGCCGACTGATGGGTCTGCTCCCATCACAAGGAACGAACTCATGACCTTCATGAGGGACTTCAAGGGAGAGATTCAAGAGTTGATCAACAAGAAGTCGACTGCTCCAGTCAAGGAGCAGTCGGCCAAGAAACCCTCCACTTCACTGAAGAGGAAGCCAGTTCAAGGGCGAGAGGCGACTCCTCATCCTAAATCTAGGAAGCGGGAGCCACCTGCCCTTGATTTCACAAAATTCCGTTATCCTACAGGAAATAGGAAACCGGTTCGTCATATTCAGGCGGACGGGTCGAAGCAAACATTCACAGATGCTCGACTACTGCTAGAGCAGAAGAAGAGTGACCGATTGTCAGAGTCGGCCTCTACTTCAAACTTTCAAGACAGTTTGCGAAATGCCTCGATGAGGCATACTCAGTCGTACCATGAGAGTCAGTCAGGCGGCACCTCCCGTCAGTCCGGCTTTCATAGTGCCTAGGCGGTACCAAACTTACCATTTGTGCCGCAATAACAGTATTTTTTGCAGCCACCTCCATTTGGTGGACCTGCAGCAAAAAACGTCCAACCTATGGACTGGCAGCTACGGTTGCTTAGACTTGGTGAACAACCGTCGACCTTCTCCAAGGAAATTACTGAAGCCGCTCAGCCGGCCAAAGTGAAAAATGTACTAGTAGGCGCCTATGACGGCACTACTAACCCAGAAGACCATCTGATGGCATTCACCAACCTGATGTACCTTCAAGGGTTGGATGATCCCACCTGGTGCAAGTGTTTCCCAGCGACTCTCAAAGGAATCGCACAGCAATGGTTCGGCAACCTGCCGACTGGTTGTGTAAATAGCTTCAGGACGCTTACTTACTTATTTGCCTCCAACTTCGCCATGAACATCCCTGCGAAGAAAACGACCCTTGATTTGGGAACAATTCAGCAGGGCGAGAAGGAGGGCTTCGTTCTTACATCAGGCGGTTTAACCTGATGAGAATACAGATTCAAGGGTTACCGGATGAGGTAGCTTATACCGACTTTTTCAGAGGTCTCAAAGACGGGTCTACCTTCAAATTTGATTTGGTTCGAAAAAGGGTGGCGACTCTTCAAGAGGCCTTGATTGAAGCAGAAGCCTATATACAGGCGACTGATCTTTGTACGATAAAACAGTCGGACGGGAAAAGGTTCGACAAAAGAGAAAGACGACAGAAACAGTCGTCTAACAAAGATGAGAAAAGAAAAGAGGTCTGGGCGGCTGATTCCTCTAAACAGCTGGCCCAGAAAAAGAAAAAAGAATTCAAACCATACTCCCCAAAGTATGTGTTTAACAAGGATAACCAATTTATCCTAAAATAAATCAAGGGACGGATCTCAATTGAGAAGCCGGTCCCCATGAAAGGTTCTGCAAACAACCGGAACCAAGATAAAATCTGTGCTTATCATGATGACGTTGGTCATCACACCAATGATTGCATCAGTCTTATGCGGTACCTAGACCGCCTGGCTGAGCAAGGTGATCTTGACAGTTATGTCAAGAAATCTACGGGGAACACTTCCTCAAAAAAGCAGTCGGCCAAAAAGAATCAACAAACCGACAGCTCCGATACAGATGATGCAGTCGTCTACACCATTGCAGGCGGTTTCTCAGGAGGCGGCCCCACTATTAGG